TTATTATTATAATTAAATGAAGGTAAATAATTAAACAACATATATACAGGAAACCACAAATAAAAAATCAGTGGCAAAGATTTTTTTTTTCGCTCGTTATACCATTGTATATACCAAAGGCTGAATGGATGAACAAATGAATGAATGAACGAATGAACAAATAAATAAATGAATGAATAATTTAAATCATGTTAACACGAAAAACCTCCCGACCATGATTCAATTAATTAACGGAACCGTCATTAACCACCATCACGACCGTCATATCATTATCTTCAATAAATCTCATACAAAAATGCCACAATAAAACGCTACACAAATGAAGCGTCATCATATATGTATATATATTCATGACTTTTTCGATTTTTTTTCTCAATTTTTTTTCGCATAATTTTTTCTGAAATGATAATTATTATTATCATCATTAGGAAAAAGTTTCTTATAAATCAATTGCTTAAACTCTAAAATGTATCATATATGTAGAACAAGAAAAAACATTTATATACATATATATATATATATACAACAAACGATTGCACACACACACACACACACACACACATATATATATATATACATACGGAGAACTAGGGACCTGGCAAAGACATAAAGATTGGTATAACACCAAAGAGAACAAATGTGTGTACAATGGTATCGGGTATTATATATATATATATATATATATATATTTTCTATTCCAAATTTTATTTGACGGTACGTTAAATACAAAATAGCGTTACTACATAATGGTGAAAAATTTCATCACAGTTACTATGGCAACTCTTCACCATCACCATATATTGCTATTATTATTATTATTATTCTTATTGTCATTATTCAGTCAACATTATTATTATTATTATTATTATCACCATCACCATCATCATCATTACTATCACCATCCTCATAATTAAGTTCATCATTTTTCTGCTATTTTCAATTCAATCTATCTATAATAAAATCAGCCGGCGTAGGTTTAATTAATGGACAAAGTCTAAATGAAAGAATTACGTATGAACAATAATAATAATTATTATTAATATAACAATTATAATTATGGTAATAATTATTATTATCATAATTATTATTATTATAGCCAAACGGACGACAAGCAAAGACTAATAATTGTATAAGGCAAACAACGGATAAGAAATATTTTCCTGAATAATTCTTCCATATATCATCTTCACTCACTCACTCACTCGCTCACTCATTCATTCAATCAATCCCACGATCTTAATCAATGAACACCTTTGAAAAACATTATCACTACTCACTCATAACACTATACCGTTTCGTCCATCACTATCACCACTACCACCATCATTATCATCAACATCATCGGCTTCTTCTTTTTCATCATAATACTCATCATCACCATCACATCCTTCATCATTCCAGTTATCATCATCATCATCCCCTCCATCATCATCATCATCACCATTCCAGTTATCATCATCACCACCACCATCATCATCATCATCACCGTAACCACTTATACTATCCTCCCAATTAATTAATCTCACCAATAATAGCATTAATTAATTAATAATAAAAATATTAATAATACAAAGTCGACAACAAAAAAGTCATAATAAAACCACCGCAATATATGTATTCTATGAATTATATATATACATATATATATACATACATATATATATCACCATATATTTATACATATTATATATACATATGCATATATTGTTTATTCGTGTTATATACATTAACCCTGAATACGTATGCAATAAACCGCTTAAAGCCGACAGAAAGCTACAAACAACGAACGACAAACACACACAAGCAGACACACACACGCACACACAAACAAGCAGACACACACGCACACAAGCATTCGCCCGCAAACGTGTATATACAGACACAAAGAGGCGGCAATATCAAACAAACACACACACACACAAACAAACACACATACAAACCAACACAAACGGACAGACACACATCCACATAAAACTACTTAGCCAATATTACTGTATATTGCCATACATCTTCATCGAATATTATTTTTTCTATTATTATTATTATTTCCATTATTATTAATCTCTGCTCTTTAAACCACAAGACACACAACCGTAAAATTATGTGCCAACTGACGCTACCACACCTACTACTACTTCTCATATAAAAATTATTACATCTATAATTATAATAATAATAATAATAATAATAATAACAATAATATTAATATTAAAAACTTCCGTTATAATTATGGAGAGAATAATTTAAAAAATTATTATTATTATTATTACTATTATTTATTTATTATTTGTGGAATCAATCAAGTGCGAAAAAATGCCCTAGTAAGAAGTATTACGATAGATAATATAATGAAATAAATAATTACAATGATAATGATAATAATAATGATAATTTTCTCTTATCTAATTCTCATAGGCATCAACAAGACACACAGACATGCACAAACACACACACACACACACACACACACACGCAAACAATCTCACACATACACACACACAAACACACACGCAAACAATCACACAAACACACACAATCACACGCACGCACGCACGCACACACACACACACGTGAATCCAGTGCACTGGTGACGGGATGGTTCGGAATCTTCTCGCCACCCTTCACAACAACAAAACCATTCCAAGCATAAATAAAAGAAATAAATGAAAAATACAACAAAAGTAGTGATAACAACGACTAAATGATGCAAGAACATGACAAGATGATACATCATTACGTGATGGTGATACAAAAACATGATACAAACCAACCGGATACAAAAACATGATACAAACCAGTCGGATACAAAAAACATGATACAAACCAGCCAGATACAAAAAACATGATACCAACCAGCCAGATACAAAAAACATGATACAAACCAACCAGATGCAAAAAACATGATACCAACCAGCCAGATACAAAAAAAATGATACTAACAAGCCAGATACAAAAACATGATACAAACCAGCCAGATACAAAAAACATGATACCAGCCAGCCGGATACAAAAAGCATGATACAAACCAACCAGATTCAAAAAACACGATACCAACCAGCCAGATACAAAAAAAATGATACAAACCAGCCAGATACAAAAAACATGATACAAATCATCAGATACAAAAACATGACACTAACCAGCCAGATACAAAAAAAACCAAACGATGACGATGAAAAAAATTTACTAACTTTATGCAACCAACAACAGTACAAAGAAAAGCCCAAAAAATTGTGAAAAAAAGTTTCTAAAAAAAAAAATTTTTTAAATATTACCAAAAACTTTAAAAAAGAAATGACGTAATAAATACACAGAAATACAAAGCATTTTTTATAGCAGATTTGTTTTTTAAAAAACAAATACAAAGAAAAACTTGAATGCACAACGGTGTTGTATTGTTTGTGTACAACCACTGTATACACACATACTCACATACACGCCACACACACAGACACACACCACAGACACACACACACACGCCACATACATACACACACATTTAACGTCAGGTTGATAAATTGAAAGGAAGAAATTGCAAACAATACATGCCGAAACAGACAGCAATAGATGTTTCAAAATATTAATTCCACACACACACGCACACGCGCGCACGCACAGAAACGATTGCGAACACACACACATTCACACACACACACACATACACCATTACATATTTATTCGTCAAATTATTTTTTATCTGATTTATAAAAATATATTTTCTGTATTTTTTTCAGAATCTAAGTTACGAAATTCTTTCTATAACATTTCCCTAAACTAATAATAATAATAATATAAATAATAATAATAACAAATAATAATCAATTATAAAAAAGAGCATGTAAAAAAATATACAAACACACGCACATACTTTAGAGACAGACAAACAAGCACACATATATAAACAAACACACACACGCAAACAAACACACACACACACACAGACAAACAAGCACACACAAACAAACACACATACACGCATCAACCTCATTCAGAGAAATGCAGATGCACATTTGGTATTCGAGGATAGAAAAAAAAAATTCTGGGAAAGCCTCATAACAACAATATAAACTAAAACAACAGTAATAATAATAACAACAATAATAATAACAATAATAATTTACTAATTAATTAATAAATAGGAAAATAATATTTTATTTAAAGGAGAGGCATTATCATCTTGTAACAGCTTAATAAGACACTAATACAATTTAGCTAAACCTAAATACAAACATATGCATACAAAAAAACTCATATACATATATATATATGTATATATATATATGTATATATTTACATACATATATTATATTATATATATATATACATACACACATATATATTAGATATATATATATATATATACATATATATATTATATATATATATATACATACACATATATATATACATATCTGCATATTTTATACATGATAATGATTAGTGAAAACACACACGCACACACACACACACACAAACACATGAAAAAAAGCATACAAAAAAATTTATACTAACATGTTTAACTAGAAAATTACTTTACATGCATACATAATTACAAAATTGGTAATAAATAAAAATATACATACATGCATAAAGAATCATATGTAAAAACATATACAAATAGGCACACAAACACATACATACACATACATACAAACTAACAAATACATAGGCCCGTACACAAACTAATCCCAAAAAACAAATTCCTCATACCAAACTACTAATTACCATAATAAACCATAAAATATCATACACACCTGCCTACAGACAAAACAACCCTAGAGATACATACACATTTCTACATGTGTATGTATGTGTGTTGTGTGTATGTATGTGTGTGTGTGTATGTATGTATGTATGTATGCATGTATGTATGGACATAAGTAAAGATATTTTTTAGCGCACTGCACTAATAAAAAATAATAAAAATATAATTATAAATAAATAAATAAGAGAATAAAACACAAAAAAAACATGTTTTTGTAGTATTTTTTTCAGATTTTATAATAATGTACACACATACAAAACATACAAATATATACACTGAGTAGTTTGTATACATACATATACATACAGATATATACACAAGTTTGTATACAAACACAAGTTTGTATATATATATATATATATATATATATATATATATATATATATATATATATATATATATACATACAAACACAAGTTTCTGTACATACATATACATACAAAGATACCACTTTTTGTACATAAAAAAATGTATTAAATACATGGAAACGTCTTAAGTAATGACAAAGCAAATGAGAAAATATATATATATACATATACATACATGAGGAATATACATATGTCGGCATATGTATATACAACACATGTTACATACATAAGCTGTATATACTTTATAACAAACATACACACTTATATACACGCTTCAGTATGTTAGCACGTTATTTTTATAACAATTTTCATCGGTTTATGTAGGTTTTTTTGCTTGCTTGCTTGCAGGTTCGGTCATCGTCGAAGAAAATTTAAATTATGAGAAAAAAAAAAATTGATTAAACTGGAGGTTACTTAAATGTTACTTAGTTGTAAGTAACTTGAGACTGAGTGAGAGTAGTAAGCTTGCTGGAGCAACATGGCACAATCACTGGAGACGAAGAGGAAGATGACAGTGTGCATGACCACAACGAGAGAGTGAATGAATAGATGAATGAATGAATGAAAACACCGCGATCGATTGATCGACCCATCGATGAGATGATCGAAACAAAACGAATGAATGGAGAAATATTTGCTGATGTTTTAACATGATTAATTAGAATTCATCTGAGAAGCTAGCTGGCTGATCAGCTGGTTGACCGATCAAACAATGGCTGACTATTATTTGGTAGATATTGATGCTGTTGTTGGTATTGAGGTTTGTGTTGTTGTTGATGTTGTTGTTGTTGGTATTGATGTTGTTGTTGCAGTTGTTGTCACGAAATAGCAGCAGTTGGAAGGACAGGAGTTGCATAGCAGAAATTCATGAGAGGAACCTGCTGGTGTGGTAGAAGCTGCTGTGTCTGCTGCGGCGGTGGATAATAATACTGCTGCTGTTGGTGGTAGTAGGGGGAAGTGTTGAGAAATGGATAGTAGTAGCGCGGATACCTGGCCAGCATACCAAGCGTGGCCGAGGCTGAATAATCATCGGTACCCAATTGGTTGATGGCAGCTTGGTAGGTGAAGTCGGTCATCTTCATCTTGATCATATCCAGTGTCTTCATTTTTTCCCTTGTCGCCAGGCACGTGGCATGTTCGTCCACAAAGTGTATGACGTTTAACAAGAACGGACTCTTCATGTGCTCGCGGGTGTTGAAATGATTCTGCAGGTAACTTTCCAACTGGGTCTTTTGCTTCTCAACTTCTGGAAAGTCGATGAAGAACCTTGAGCACATGTACTTCTTCACCGCCCGCATCTGCTCCAGATCTTCATCCTGGTAGCCACAACTTTGCAGCAGGCAGTACTTCAGCAGTCCTCCACCTCGGATCTCCTCTGGGTTGCGAGTGACAATCAGTTTCATCTCTAGATGTTTTTTGGCTGCCTCGTAATCACCATAGACACTCTCTATGGGAACTGTTGGAAATATTTTTGGCCTCATCATCGTCGAATCGGAAAATAAATCTTTGCATTTGAGGTAATCATCGATGACGAGCTGGAAGGAGTCGATGCTGAATTCGAACTTACGCCTCATCTTATCTACAAACTTCAACTCGATGTTGCGACCATTTTCGTTTCGCAATCCAAACAGTGCCCAAGAATCAACATTGCCATTTTGAATCTTTACCCACTTTTGCACATAGCCATCAGACAAATTTTCAGTGTTCAGAGATGGGTTGGCCTGTATAAGATCTTCAGGGAGGAACCGGAAAAGTGTCTCTAGCGCGCATCGTCTGATGTTTTCAAATCTCACTCTGTCATTTCGAGGATTTTCTCCCGGTTCATGAGTTGGACTTAAGTTAAACAAGACATCTAGGTCGTTGTATATTTGACACCTGTCCCCACCGACAACCGTCAAGGCAACACTTCCGTTCACTCTGATATCTTTCAGGTGGAATCCGGACTCTACGAGTTTATCACGGACGGCCACGATCAATTCCTTAGCTTTTATGCTCAAGTTGGGATATCCTAAACCCGAATGTCCGTGTACGTCGAAGGTTGATCCGATTATTTGGTCCAGTCGGTTGATTTGGTCGTAATTCAACTTCTGGATGACGTTTGCAGTTGGACTGTTTGACCTCTGTGGCTGTTGTTGCTGCTGCTGTTCCTCCATTGTGATTGTCGCTGGGTCTGAAAATTCAATTCAAAGTTTAATTTAAAAATTAAAAAATAGACAAGTGCGTAGTAGTGCACAGCTTAATTTCCTTCGGTAAAAAACGCTTTAAAACGTTAATTCAACACAATTTTTGGAAAGCAAAAACTATCCCTGACAAATTTTGCAATTTAAAATTAAATTATTTCACAAAATTAATTGAAATGAATGAAAAAAATTGGATTACAATCAAAATACTCCGCCATTGAACGTTCGTTACTCGAATTTTCGACCAACTGACAACAACAACAACAACAAAGATGACGTCAGAGCTAAATATAGCCGGCAGGACTTTTAATGGAAAGTTTTTTGAGATTAAATGATTAGGCCCTACATAAATTACTCATCCATTCTCTAAACGTGCACATATCTAAGTTAATCTATTAATAAAAATAAATTTCAACTATAATTTTAAATGCTAATTAAATAAATTTCTTGACTTTAAACACGGAAAATGTGAAAGCAAATCATATACAAATACAAACTCACCGTGGTAGAAATACAATGAATGAGAGACCACTATTTGAGATGTAGTAGTTTTCGCTATTTTCTGACTAATTAGCACAAAAAAGACAATTGTGGAAGTTATAAAACTTAATTAAAACGCGAATTACAAAATTACCTAGCAAATTTTTCAACTAGAAAAAACTTGACGCGCTGTAGTACAGTTCAATTCTTACTCTACCCAGGCTTTTTAATTTTAAATTTAAATTGTTATCAAACTGGTCGATTCGGTTAAATTAATAACTCTAAAATACTAAAATTGACTTATCAAACTGTTACAAATTCATGTCCAACTGTTTTTAATAAAAAACAACGCTACCTTAAAACTTCGCCAACGTTTAAAATTTAAGATACTAAGTGTTCTATACTTTAACAATATAATTTAAATACAATTTAATAATATGAAAAAGTGATTTAAATTACTAATTATTGACGTAATTAATTAACTAATTAATTAATTAACAATAATTAATCACTAATTATCGATTTAATTACTAAAACCCGACAATTAATGCCTAGTAGATTCTTTAAAATAATCGCCCGAGCCAAAATTTGTTTCCACTCATTTGACATACAAATCCCATTATTATAGAACTTTACAACAACATTCACATTTAAGGTGCGTCATTTGGCTATGGATATATTTATATCCATTCGTTTAACCTATACAATACAATTATTTCACTCGTAAAAGCTTTTTTTCACATTTATATATACTTACACATAGACACTAAAGTCACAAGTGTGTTTGTACTCACATATATCTATATATGTGTAGATATATGTGTATTGTGTTGGTTTGGTATATTGTTATACACACCAACAGCGCTTGTATTTTAAGTCAAATATTTTACAGGTGTATTGTATTGTATTATTGTGTTTTGTTGTACTGTGTGGTTAGGTTATGTGTGTTTGTATATATACAAAAATAAGGTATATATGTATATATTGCGTGTGTTTGTATGCGCATTGTTAACAGAGTGTTGTCTATATGTGAGTGTGCCCGCATGTGTTGATTTGTGTGTGCAAATAACTCATTTTAAATGTAGTTTCCCATATTGAAATGTATTTAGTATTGCTAGTAACATAACTGGGGATCTGTTGCTTATTCATTGAGTGTTGTTAACATGGTTAGTTGGTTAATAATAAATGAAAATTAATAATAAAATATGAGTACTTATAACTTTTCTGTTTTTTTTTTTAATAATTTAACCATTAATTATTTTTTATTACAATCTACGTATTATGTTATTATTATAAATATAATCTATTTTTATTTATTTATTTATTTGTTTATTGTTAAAGGAGAGTTTTTTTTTGAGGCAAACACATATTACAAGTTGTACGTCATGTTTATTTTTGTGGTGTTCAAAACCCAAAGTTGAGTGTCTTGATAGAAAAATGTGTCGCAGATTAAGTTAGACATGTGTGAATAAGTTTGTGTGCGTGTCATGGGTGTGTGCGTGTGTTATATATGTGTGTGTACGTGTGTATATATACTCTTGCATGTATGTGTTTGGCTATAGTTTTATTTGGAGTGGAAACGCGTGTTATACCAAGATGTTGTGAGAAGGAAACTTTTTTGAATGAATCGCAAATGAAGACTCTACCTAGAGTTTGATTGACACATTACAAGGCAAGTGAGGCAACTTTTGATTTGAGATCACGAGTAGATCCGGACAACTTTGACGAGGTAGGAGGCTAAAGTTTGACGGGGGTCCAAGAACTGGCTGGGAGTAGTTTTATTCAGTTTATCACACAACTGTATGGCAATTTTTCTGATAAACTTTATTAAAGTGCCAATTTTAGATATAATTCGGCTATTCAATTTAAACCAAAATTTACGAAATTTATATAGTTGTTTTGTTAAATTTAACCTTTAATCTTAGCCAAAATGTCTATTTCGGGAAAACTTCAGTCCCCAAGCTAACCCTTGGCCATGCTTCTGATCAGAAACATCAACTTTGAAATTTGAAGCCGAAAATTTTATTAAACTTTGTTGTTTGATCGATTTCTAACATTAAAAAATTTTATTTATGACTTTTAAGTTTAAAATAATTCATTGCCTGTGCTTAACAAAACTAAGGTCACCTATGTAGAGAATCTCTACTAAATAACACCTATTAAAACTATAACAAAATATGTAATTAAAATAATTTATGACTATTATCTCTGGAACACTTGACGATAATTACTTCAAGTGCTTTGACTATTTTTAGCATTTCATAAATTACAAATGTTATCAAATTTTCTTACTTTCAGGTGGCGTCAACTTCTGTCTTGAATGGAATTTCCTAGTTCTAATATCATGATTTAGGCCTTTAACGTTTCATATTCAATGTTATAATTAGTTGTATATCTTCTTAAAGATGCGAGTAACTTAAATCCATCCAAATGTTGTTGAATTATTTCTAAGTTCAATAATAACGTTTTATCAAATGCACTCTTATACTCATTTGATTGAGCCAAATCAGTCGCGCAACCGAAATTTTTTTACGAGTTTAATTTTTTTAAAAATTGGCACCTGTATTTTGCTTATTCAAAATTTTTTGTGAAACTTGTGGAAAATTAATTTAGTCGTAAGTTACTTGTGTCGGAAGAGCTGAAATGAGATTAAAGAGTAAAAAATGAAGAAAAACCAAGTTTAAACAGCTTGTTAGAGCTGCATGATAAAGATTTTTTTGAATAATATAGTGAACTGCCTGTGGGGCTATTTTATTTTTAACGTGCTCACAAGAGAATGATTCACGATGAGTAGATAGATCAGCAATGTGGCAGTCAAATAATGCAATGAATGATCTCGTGATGTCAGACACAGTCAAACACACACACACACGCAAACACACACACACGCAAACACACACACACACACGCAAACACACACACACGCAAACACACACTCACACACGCAAACACACACACACACACACGCGCAAACACACACACACGCGCGCAAACACACACACACATATTTATATATAAATGTGTATTACAAATTATTATTGACTCTAAGATGAACAAAGTGATAAAAATGCGTGTTTGTAAAGATTAAAAGTCGTTATTTGAAAAAAAATTTAACATTAAAAATATTTTATTATTGTATAAATGCACTGGTAAGTTATCATATGGTTAGATGAGTAGATATGACTAACTCGTTGACTTCGACGAATTGAGAAGTGATTTTTAAAAAACAATTTTCATGGTTCTGTACCATTTAAAAAAATAAATTTAACTTAACAAGTTGTAGAGCAAGTTTGCTTTTTTCATAAAATTTGTACTTTTTCGTGCAATATTAGTTATTTAAATCAATATTATTTGATAAAATAGCTTACTTAGTCAAATTAATTTCAAAACAAATCAGCATTACCTTTTTTACCAGTTTGTTTGTTTATTAACTTCAATTCTTTGGTTTGAACTCAATTAATGATCCAACAGTTCTAAATTTCAAAAACTTTCATAAATATAGAAACTAGTTTTTAAATCTATGGACATATAGATAAAAAAAATATGTTCCTAAATCTATGGCTACCTAGATACAGAAACATGTGCCTATTTCTATGGTAAAAAGATACATAAACTAGTTGTTATGTATCTATGGTTAGGTTATGTATCTATGTGTCTACACTATATCTATGTATCTATTATCATTTAATGTTAATCAATGTCCGATTTATTCGCCAGTGGGGCAGGTAGGAGAGATAGTAACTCGGCAGTGAGCGAGCCCAAAATTGGAGCCAGGAAGTAGACGATGATGATGGTCCAGGTGAGGCGGTGTGGGCAAAGAGCGTAGAAGCTGACGATGATCAGAGGGTTGACGATGAAGTTCGTCGAGTAGGCGCCTGTTTTGGGTAGTGGAATTTTATATTTTGGTGAAATTAAAGGTTGGAGAAGGATTGAGTTGTTGGATTATTTTTATTAGGTTTACTAAGGTTAAATTTTGAGATTTTGAATGAATGAAATATAGACTAAAATTTCATTAATTGCACAATAGAGCACTAAAATATTTTAATTTATCTACAGCATAATGATATTTTATTTAATTATATTATATTATTAAATATAACATATAAAAGGTTTTTCTGCAATAAATTTAGAAAAGCCCAATCAGCGTTTGGCTCGCGGTTTCAAATAATCATTCGAATAGAAATAAACAAACCATGAATTTTTAAAAAGACAAGTAGGGAGGCCCTATTAACATGATCCTCCATCTCTCCTTCCCTAATCTTCCACTTCCTAATTATCAAACTGACGATGGCCCCGAAGAACTCGAACAGGAAACCATCAATGATTGCCAACTTGAGAGGGGTCCTACACATGTAATGCATATCTATGGTCTCCAACTCTTTTCTAGCCGATATTGAGTTTATCATAAAGCTCGGAACGTCCAAATTCCATGCAAATTTGGAAATAGTCACCGATATAAAAGTGCCGATGATTTGAAAAACTATCCTAAGCAAGCTGATGTAATCTTTTCTCATCACCAGGACCAAGTGGTCTAGAGGATTAGCCACGCCTCCATAACTTATGGTAGGAAAAAGACTAATTTCAGCGATGTAGAAGAGTAAGAAGTAAAAAAATCCATAATAGACGGATATAGTTGCATACTGATAGGCAAACCCGGCCAGCATGAAAGCTGTGGAAAGGTCAAGGATGAAAACTTGGTAGTAAACAGGCAAGAACGTAACTGCCAACGACTGCATGAAAAGTCCTAGAATCATGAAGATGACGATTATGGAGACGGCTACATGGATGGGCGAATCAAATGGAGTTAACATCTTGCCGTTTTTGTCGAGTCTGATCATCCATTGTGCGGAACTTTCATCGAGTTTAACTATTTTAATTATCCCCGTTGTTGCATTATGTTACTATTTTTCTATTTTTAAGTTTAGTGTATTTTAATTTTGTAGTTTTTTTTGTTATTGTTTGTGTTTATTTGTATGTAAAATTGCGTAACCTTATTTGAAAAATCGTTGTTCATCACAATAATGCTGTCCTGGTTTCGATTAAAATATAATAAAAGAATAATTGTGCTAAATGCAATCGTCATCACATTACCGCACCGTCTGGTTAAGTTAACCGGTTGAAGTGTTTGAAATATTTGGCTTCGTGGTCGATTGCGAAATTTCAAAAAGGTAACGCGACTGACATTTTGTTTTTTGTTTATTGCTAATTTTTCTGAAAAGCTTCTCGTTCGTTCTGTTCTAATTCGACATAAAAATTTCGTAAGTTGTTCGCAATATGTTAATTTATTTAATTAAAAATTTACTTTTGTGATTTTTGGTTAATTTTTTGTCTGTGAAATAAATTTACCGACGATGTCCATGTTGAATAAATGATGATGATAAATTAATTAAATAAAAATAAAAAACTAAACGCCATTTTTAAAATTTATTTTAAGAAAAAGAAGAGGAAGAAAGCAAAATGTCGACCAGCATTTCCCAGCAGAAGGCAATTGTGGAGGGATTGAGGATGGAGTGTAGAATTGAGAGGCAGCCCCTATCCAAGACATTGAGGGAGATGATTCAATACACTGAACAGCACAAAGCCAATGATGCTCTGATGTGTGGGATAGATAAAAAATTAAATCCCTTCATAGAAAAGAGTAGTTGCGTACTAATCTAATGCTAATTAACACCAACAACACTGATCTAATTAATCCCCAAAGTTAATATTTTAAAAATGAAGATTTTCTGTGTCTACAAGAATTAATGTTTGATTTTTTTAAATTAAATTAAAAAGCTATTCATATGTTGTATGATATGAATATGGTTCAATCAATTTTACTTTTAAAAAAATTCTAAATATTAAGTAAGAAGTAGGTTCATTAATTAATATATTAATTAATTAATTTGTTTGTTCATTAATATTTTAATTTGTTTATTCATTATTTTTTCTAAAACCTCCACTTCATGTTTATCATGTCGGTAATTTAGTTTGTAAGTATGTATCATGATTTTTTTATTTGAGCATCATTCAATAAGGATTATTATGTCATATTTAATTTAGTGTTTTTGATGTTTTTAATTAATCATGATAATAATAATTATTATTTTTAATCATAGAATTAATCAAAATTATTTAAATTATACTTTAAAGAAATGTTATCATAAAAATGATTAAACGAGAAAACAAAGTGGTTTTGTTGTGCCCGTATATGTCATCATTGTTGTCATTCTGTCATTCATTTTGTAATAATATTTTATTTTCTTTGTTTTAAATTTTCGTCATTTCTATATACAAATATTATGTATATAAATTGCTAAAATTATAAATATACAATATGTATATATATACATTATATATATATTTATATGTATCTATGGGTATATATGATATATATATATATTTATATAACCCGATCATTAGTTTTGAAACAATCATGGTTACATTAACGAACAGTTTATTTAGTTCGCCTTATAATGTAATGTAATGTATCTTCTTGATATAAAAATAAATATTTAGCTTTTTAAAATTTTTTGCTTTAGATGTTGGTCTGTTTATTCATTTGTTTATTAAATATTTATTCATTTATTATTCATTTAATATTTTTTATTTGTTGTGTTTTATGTTCATTTGTTGGCTTAGTTTAAACTTCCGTAGTGGTAGTAGTAAAACCATGAGTCGGATTTTAAGCTCATGCTTTTTTTTCGGTAGTTTTCTCTATGGTAAGCCTGCTTTAGTGAAAGTTTAGTCAGCAATGAACGTTAAATAAATAATTAACAAATTTAATTATGAAATAATTATAAGAAATTATAACTGAATAAGGAAATACTGACCCTAATTATATGAAGGTATGATTTATGTTAAATCAGTCTTCGTTATAGGTTGTGATTATGAATGAAGTAGTTTTTATCTATCTATGATTTTTTGGTTCGCATATATATATATATATATATACATATATGAACCCAAACATGTATGTATGTGTATATATATATATATATATATATATATATATATATATATATATATATATATATTCACATTAAATTCTTTTATAACTTTTGAGCAAAGAATTTTATATGTCGATGTAATTAATGAAACATGAATATTATTAGTTTTTTTTAATCTCTGTTTCTCTGGTTTTTAAATTTCAGAAATTATTAGGTGGAGAAATATAATCAAATTTTAGAATAAGTTGGATAATCGTAAGCCTAGTTATGTGATATTCTCGTTTGGCACTTTTTGTTAGCAGATTTGAATTTCATAATGTGAAAGATGAGTAGAGAATGTAGGTGAGAATTTAAAAAGATTACTAAGTTGATGATTTAAGCACAGTCGCAATGCTAAAATGAAGGTGCATGTCAAGGTGAAACCGTCCATTAGTACATTAGCTAATTAGGAACAGGTAGATAAAAGTTATTGTTGCTTGTACTAATGTTTATAAGTACTAAGTTTATACAATTTTCAGTACTTGATGATACTTTTAGTAAGTACGTTTTGGAAAATACAGTTGAAAAATTAGATGAGAAGTTTATTTCAAATCTTTACTCAAACGTGTTCACCGTATCTCGTAATCGAGACTGATGTTGCGACAATCATTCTGTATCTGCAATTCGTACTAGCGCCATTTTAGTTATGTACGATAGAAAAGTTTTTTTATACATTGCTATGCAAAACCGGAGGCCCTACCTAGCACCTTTAAACCAAGCATTATTAAAATAAAAACAAGACAAAAGCAATGCCATACCGAATACCGACCGTTAAATAATTAGGTACATGACTATTTATAATGTTATAATGTTAAAAGTTAATTTAGATATAAAAATTATTTTAGAAAAAATTTTGATTAAAGATGATTTCATCGGACATGTCGTCAAATCCGTGCGTGCTCTTTCTCAGTTTTGCTGATTTCAAATGTCGAGATCTGATAGAAGGTTGGATAAACTTTTTTGAGGCAACTTTTTAAAAAAACATGAATTTAAAATTTATTTATTATTTTCATATTATATTTTAATATAATTAATTAAATTAATTTTTTATTTAAAAATTGCTTTGCATTTGATAATATTTAATTATATAAATATATTAAAAATATTAATTGTACATTTGCACTTTTATTATTCATCACTCACTGTCTTTATTTATTCTCTCTATTACCTGTATTCCTCCAAAGGTCTCAACAACAAACACACAATCAACATCACACACACTGTGCATGAACCAATGTACCACACACAATACATCTGAATTAATACATCACACAATGCATATGAATCAATTCACTAAATTCATTAATTCACCACACACAATGCATGTGTGATAGGCAAGGATTACTCTGCATTCAAACCTGGTTACTGTAACATCAGTGCCAGGAACATAAACCATTATGCACCATTGTGACATTTCAATTTTAATACTATGTCAATTTAGAAATTCTCGAGAAAGATAACTTCCAGATCAAAACCGGCCTAGAACCTGTGAAAAGCAAAGATAATCATTTCATCACATACCCATGGTCCATAGATACAAAATACTACACGGCCAACATAGATCTATTAACCACTGTTAAAAAGAAAATGGCCGATACGAGTGATGATGATAGTAGTGATGATGACGACGACGACGACGATGATAATGATGATAACAATGATGATATCATAGATAAACTGCCAAATTTGGAAGCTCTAGTAGTCTATTTTGATACATCAGAGGTGATGATGATGTTATTGATGATGATAATGATGTTAATAATGGCGTGATAATGATGATGATAACAAAAAGGATGATGATAATAATAACAATAATGATAATGATGATGATACAGTACTCTTCATACAAAGAAGCAATACAGTGCTGTCATAAAGTTAAAGACATGAACATTGAAATCAAACTTCTTGTATGCCAACAGTCTTGTCCCACTGATTGTATGTTTGTTTTCTACTTTGTTTGTTTCGCTTATGTTTTGTATGTTTGTACTTTGTATGCTTTGTATGTTTGTAATTTGTATGTTTCGTTTATGTTTGTACATTGTATGTTTCGTTTATGTGTTGTACGTTTTGAATAGGATGCTTTTGCTTTGCCTAAAATCACATTCTACTGATTGTATGTTTTGTGTTTTGTTTGTATGTTTACATTTTGCTATTGCTGTTGTTGTCTATGTGATTGATGATGGTAATGACAACTAATACTTAATGATGGTGACGTAATTTAATTAACTAATTTAATAATGTCATTTAATTAACTAATTAATTTAAATGACGTCATTTAATTAACTAATTAATTTATTGATGTCATTCAGTTAATTAAATTTCTGCAGGCGTTTCAAAGCAAGAAGTGTTGAGATGGTGCATTGATAATGGCTTTGAACTGATTGAGCTGGATGATGATGATGACGACGACGATGATGACGACGACGATGAAACACAAGGTTACAATGTATGTATGTATGTATGTATGTATGTTTGTATGTTTGTATGTATGTATGTATGTATGTATGTATGTATGTATGTATGTATGTATGTATGTATGTATGTATGTATGTATGTTTGTATGTTTGTATGTATGTATGTATGTATGTATGTATGTATGTATGTATGTATGTATGTATGTATGTATGTATGTATGTTTGTATGTTTGTATGTATGTATGTATGTATGTATGTATGTATGTATGTATGTATGTATGTATGTGTGTTTGTATGTATGTTTGTAATCATTTTAAAGACGATTTCAAAGAGACTCAGGGAGTTAGTAGGATTATCGAGGCCTTCAAGTGCACTACCTGGTCTAATATGAAAATTAAAGGTTTCTATATGTGTTGTCCACGCGTGTGTGTGCTTGTGTATGTGCGTGTTTGTGTGTGTGTGCGTGTCTGTGTGTGTGTAGGGTTAGAGGTTTCAGTATGTGTTCGTGTGTGTGTGTGTGTGTGTGTGTGTGTGTGCGCGTGTGGATGTGTAACAACATCTTTTATTCAATATCTTCACCAGATAAATCATCAATCCATCCAAGCACCTACATGCAAAAACTCATGACGGAAGTCCGCGGTGACGTCACTGCCGGTTGTCACGGCCACCGCGCAGTTACCAAAGATACTATAACCGCCACAACTACCACCACCGCCACCACCAACAACAACAACAACAATGATGATGATAACAATTGTAATAGTAGTGGTGATAGTAACGTAAATAATGATAAAGACTGCAATCACTTTTTGCCTGGTGATGAAGATGAAAAGGATAAGATGATGACTTTGAATGATGATGTGGGAAAATGTACAATTGACAGTACCACATATAACTTTGGCGACTGTTGTACTATCTCTACTATTACTACTACTACTACTACTACTACTACTACTGCTGCTGCTGCTGCTGCTACAAATAGCAATGAAGCTTGTAATAGCTTCAGTAATATTAGTAGTAGTAGTAGTAGTAATAATAATAATAACAAAAATAATGATGGGAATCTAGCCGGAGTTGTTGATCCGGCAGGTTTCAGAAATCCGGACAAGTTGATGAGCGGGAATCATGCTCTCAGTCAGTTTGCCAGATTTGTTGATTGGTTTGGGATTGATTGATGTTTGATTGATTGATTTCAGATGGATTGTTTGATTGATTTCGAATGGATTGATTGATTGGTTGGTTTTTGATGGATGGATCGATTCATTCTTAATTGGTTGGCTAATTTATTATGATCGATTTACTTATGTTCTGTCGGTTGGTTGGCTGATTGATTCATTGTTTTTGGGTTAGCTTATTGCCGACTGGCTAATTGATTTACTGTTGGTTGATTGATCTTTTGTTGAATGGTTGATTGATTGACTAGGCTTTTTGATTGATTGACTGATTGGCGTGGTTATCAATCAAATTAACAACTCCACAACCAAAATTTCGCAAAAATTCAGATTTTGTTTAACGATTTTCCATTCAAATGTACGTTTATAAATGTTCGTTTCTCTGTCCATTATAGGTGAGGATGAATTTGAGAAACTGTTTGAAAGCATTCCAAACATGAAAAGTAATTAGTATCAATTAATTTGTAATTAATTAATTAATCAATACCGTTATCAAAAAATTTTTAGCGATTGCTAATCTTCATTTGGAAATTTAATGCATTACTCTAGAGAATACCTAACACACACACACACACACACACACTACTCTCGAAAATACCTAACACACACACACGCACACACACACACACACACACAAAACTCGGTATAACAACAACATTATATAACGTTATACTACTTATAGCAACAACAACACAACATTATTAATTTTATACATTTTATAATTTTTTTTAATTTTATAATATGACGATCAAATCTCTGCTTCCTGCATTTCTTCACAACTTCAAGGACAGGCCAGCAGCCTACCATCAGACGAGCGGAAGAAGTACGCAGAAGAAATGGCGATGAGGTTCTGGCAGGCTATTGGCGGAGATATGAGTGAATTTGATGACTGTGATGTAGACAGTGATGAAGACGATTAAAATTGAAAGTTGCCTGTGATGACGATGATCAAGAAAGAGTTGCGACAATAGTGACGTATGGTAATGACGTATATGATTCAAAATTGCCATGCTAGCGTTGATTAACTGGAATATTCGCCTGATGATGATAGCCAAAATTGTGATGATAATATATAAAGGTTAAGATGATTAGAACTGCCGAGAACTTTAGGTTATATGATGACCGAATGATAAATTCAACGAACGGCGATTTTGTTTGGAAAATGTTAATTGAATTTAATGAATTTAATTAAGGATTAAATTGAATAACGGTGGTTAATGAGGTATATGGTGATAAAACTGTGATGACTATTGACATGTATATGAAATAATTGAAGTTGAACAATGATTTTGCTTTTTTGATTTTGCTTGAAAATTTAAGGAAAAAAGCTTGAGGCGATGAATAAAAATGACAAAGATTTTGAATGGTGTTATCAGAACGGAACAACTTTGTCATTCTAAGCACGATTGTTTTACTGAATTTTCTTCAAATTAATCAATTGAAATCTAGTTATTTGTATATTTGCTTCAAGTCGATAATTAGTAATATAAATTAACTGACTGGATTCCGGTTAACTAATTTTATGTTTATTTCAAAATATAATAAAAATAATAACAAGAATAATAAAGAATGAAGATAATGATAATAATATAGTGACGAATTTTAAATAGAAATATTTACTACAAAAATTAAGTCATTCTATTACTATGGTATTCACTATCAATGGAATATGACGATGATGTCTGGCTTATGATAAAATGTCTCACAGTTTCCCCATCATCATCATCAACATTTAGTAAGTAAGTCACTTCTTTAAAGACATCGCTTCGAGATAGCTGTTTCATTATTAATCATCAACATTATTATCATTATTATTATTATTACTACCATTATTCTTAGAAGTTGTCAATATAGCAAAAAGGTGATAATTATTTAAATTATTTGGTTAATTGCTAAATTTATGATAATAACATGATGATAATAATATAATATTATGATAATAACAAAATTATTTTGTTATAACTATAATAAAAAAATAATTAACCTCTTTAAAACGTAATTTTTGAAATAAATTGTGGCTAGGAGCGTTATCGTAGCCTATCTTAACCAAATATGACGTCACACCCAATGCCTCAATTCCTGGTAATTATAATAATTAATTCTTAGCAGCAACGTCTGGCATCGCTGTTGCGGTGACCGTGTTCGAATGCAAACAAATCTTAAAATTTTATAAATAGTGACCAATCATATTTAAGTTAAAAATCTAATCAGCCAATCATATCGCATCTTTCTGGGGTTACTGGCCAATCATATTTAAGTTAAAAATCTAATCAGCCAACCATATCGCATCATGAGTAGGCAGGTCTCCCGACCCCTCCCCCCACCTCTCATTTCCGCCACTGCTATCATAACTTCCAATTCAGCTGGTGATGATAATGATGATGGTTGTGATTGCAATGCCAATTAGAATTGTGTGGTTATTACGTATAAACAATAATAATAATAACAACAACAAAATAAATTGAATAAACATTTAATTAATAAAATTAAATAAAAATAAATGATTTATGATACCCTGGTGAATATCATCTGTGTTAATGAACAAATTTACATCTCCAATCATTGATTCTAAATGAAATAATAATAATAATAATAATTATTATTATTATTATCATCATCATTATCATCATACCTACTTCATCCTGTGTTGAATCAAAAAGCTTTTTATCCAGAACGATGAATGTGCATTCTATGATTTTAAAAATTGGTTGTTGTGAAAATTATATTAATTTATTTATAGTTTATTAATATTTATTTTTGTTTTTATAATTCTATTTTAATCATGTCGTCACCTCAAATCATTACCTATTCTCTCTTAACATTACATCATTATCTCACATCATATTAATTAACATTTGATTATCCCACTGTTATCTTCATCATCTTGCATCATTCACACTCACTCACTGTCCTTTTCCTCATCATTAATTATACTCTCTCTCTCTTTCTCTCTGACATCACATCACCATCACACTCACTATCATCATCTTCTCTCCAAGATTTCTGCATTGCATATTCATCTTGCAGACTCAGTGGCTCAGAGGCTGTCAGCTGTTGAATGCTCGCATCTTGCATCCAGCTGTGATATCTGAAAAGTTTTTGGCCTCAATTTCAATTTTTTTTTGGGTAGAATCCACTTCAATTATATGACAATAATGAACTGGGGCTAGATTTATTTTGTTATTATATAGAGTGATAGAGTTTATGTGTGCATCATACATACAAGCAAGTACACATATAATACATACACACATAAAAAAATATATACTGTATTGAAAATTATATGTATCTAAAACGAAACGCATGCTCCAGTCAACTTCAGTGTTTCTTAGTCATAGTACAGTACATGACAAAGTGATAAAACATAAAAATATTCATTTATTTTATTATATATTTTTAATTTTAATGAATAATATTATGAATGATGATTATCTAAAATGAACAAATAATGAATAACTAACAATTAAATTGATTAATTAATTTAATTAAAAAAAGTTATTGTGATGCAACCTGAGCACGTGGGTTTCTTGATAAGGAACCAAAATAACTTTGCCGCCAGTTATTTTAGTGTTTTTGTTTTTTTTCATTCTAAATTATAAAACGAATGGCGAAATAATGACAACTCTAAAATGATATTATTATAATCTAATTTTATTTAATTATTGTTAAAAATAATGTTTTACCACCACTAACTGCGAAAATTCGAATCTATAAAACAAATCACAACCAAACTGCAATCGTCTGATCGGCTGACTGGCTTGCATTTAAAAGTTGTCGTTAGGTAGCAGGAAGTTTCGAAGTTTACTGCGTTTTATTAAATATATCTGGCTGAAGTCATGCTTGGTTTGGTTGATCTTATTAATTTTCTCAACAAATTTTCCAAGTGTATGCAAATATGTTAAATAGGTCGACTGGTACTGTTAAGCAGTTGCCGGGCTCGACCATGACTAAAAACCTATCACCAGTGGCGTTCCTAGGGCCTTTGAGGCCCGGGGCGGAAATATTTGTGATGCCTTTCATAAATAAATAATATGTATTACATATACATAGATATTATATGGTGGATGTAATGATTATCTGCTTGGTCGTTGAAGTCAGTGTCATTGAGTTCGAAAGCATACCATGCTGTTCATCCCAAAGACCATCATATGGTCGCTTATTTGATGCAATGGCAAAAAGAAATGGTAACATATGTCTATACCTCTGCCAAGAAATTCATCGACAAAAACTAACCACAGACCATATTTTGTGGAAATTGATGGTCGCCGATGTCCAGAAAAGGATAAGGCACTTATTCTTTTTTTCATTTTTTAATTGGCTGATGATGCAGAAAATAAATGAAAAATGTTTTTTATTTTATGTTTTACAAAAATGCAATATACATAGATATAAAACATTTACACATGTCAGTACACATATGCCACAAAAATTTGATTCAGCTAATCGAAAAATATATTAAAACTGTTTTTTACGAGATTTTGCATCAGAAAATATTTGTATCGTTTCATCAAAGTTAATATTTCTCGCCACTGTGTTTTCAATTGACAGGATTGCTAAGCCGTTAAGTCTTGCTTGACTCATTGTCGAACGAAGATAACTTTTAATCAGCTTCAATTTTGAAAAGCTTCTTTCGCAAGAAGAAATTGAAACGCACACTGTCAAAAAAATCTTTAAAGCTAAATATAAGTTTGGAACTGACTCGTGTAAATCAATTTCTATTATATAGGTTAACATTTTCAGTGCAGACCATTTTTTAACATCATCTTTCTCAATTTTCCCTGCTTGAAAATGACGTCTTAATCGTTTAATTTCGGGTATCATTTCATTTTCTTCTAGTTCATCAAACGTTTCTGTCAGATTTGGTATCAGCTTTGAAAGTTCTTCTATCTCCATTCCAATAAGATGTAATGATTGAATGGCTGCAAATTTTACATATACATTTTGCATTGATTCTATCCTTTTTCTGAGATCTTGATAAAAATTATCAAGTGACTGAAACATTGATCGTCTCAATTCCTGTTTCAACGTTAAAGCTTCATCTTTACTTTCTTCTCCAGGCATAAGCGTTCTTTGACTTTTTCGACCCAATTTTTCTGTAGCTATTCCCATTTCTTCACAAATTTTTGTAGAAAATATCAATGCATTTTCAACCAATTCATCGCGACTCTCATGCAGAAAAAGTTTTAAGGTATCTAATTTTTTAATGGTTTTATCTAAACCAATTCCTTCTGTTTGCAAGTATTTTTGAGTATGATTGACTTCCTTAAGAGTACTGCTCCAGAAATGAAGATAAGCAAGAAATTTGAAATCTTGAATATTTTTCATTAAAATTTGAGCTGAACCTCTCGTATCTACAATTTCTGATGGATCACATAACTTTTCTAAAGCCTGTACCAACTTGCTGAAATGATTCATTACAGGTTTCACCACATGATATTGCTCACTCCACCTGGTTCCTGCTAGCCTTTTTGCAGTGATCCCGACTATTTCTGACAATATATCCCATCTATGAGTTGATGAAGAAAAGAAGTTGTAAATGCTTTCAATTGTTCCAAAAAACGTTACACAAGTTGGATTGCTTCCAAATGCGTGAACCCCGCTCAAGTTAAGTGAATGATTAGAACAAGGTACAAATAAAATTTTCTGATTTATTTGATGGATCCTGGCTTGTACCCCAGAATGAACACCTGACATTACCGAAGCATTGTCATAACCTTGGCTTCGACATAGGTTTATGTCCAAACCCTCTTCATCAATAATATTTACAATTCTTTGTGTGATATCAATAGCCTTCTTTCTGGCAAGAGGAAAAAATTCTAAAAATGATTCTCTTACCTCTACATTTTTGTTTTTTATATGAACATATCCAATAATCTCACTTAATTGGTCTTGGTGAGATATATCAGGTGTTGAATCAAACATTATCCCGTAATACTTTGCTTGCTTTACATCATCAATAATTTTCTGTTTCACAGTATCTCCCAATATAGAAATAAATCCATTCTGAATTTTAGGGGAAAGATATGAAATCGTGTTTCCTGCCATGCTATGTTGGACCCTCACTAAATGTTCTTTTAAGACAAGGTCGTAGTGTGAAATTAATTCAACTAACTCTAAGAAATTGCCTTTGTTGTTAGAAAAGTCATCTTCTCTGTGGCCTCGAAAAGGTAAATTTTGTTTTGCTAGAAACATGGTGACATCCAATAAGCGGTGTAAAATGTCATTCCATTTTTTAGTTTCCAGTTCTCGATTTTCTTGATGAATGGCATCAATGGTTTTATTAAGATTCAAACTTAGTTCTAATGTTTTCCATTTTTCATGATTGTTTAAGTGAATTTCAGAATTTTCGTGATGTGAAATCTTAGGGTTTAGTTTCCACCAATTATTAAACCCTGTAACAAATTTTGAAAAATTATTACTTTCTTTATCACAAGCAGCAAAAAGTCGACAACAAAAGCAAAATAAACATTTCTCGGAAGGAGAATAAACCATCCACTTTCTGAGAACTTTTTCACCATTTGGAAGATGCTTGAAGAACCAATGCTTTGTCAACTGTCGAGTTAGACCCTTTGCTTGCTTCCCTACTCTTTGAACCACTCTAAATGGACCATTTTTGTTCTGGAAATATTCACTCTTTAGTTTTACTATACTGATTCTGATGTTATCTGATAACGGAATTGTCCAATTTCCCACATCACAATTTAAAAAAATATCATTTTCACTAGAAAAATTGATTTCATCCTCGCATTGTTGGTTTGACGTTTCAGTTTCGGTGGTTGTTTTTCCTTGGCCAGATTCTACGGTTGTATCTAAATCAGTCTGCTGACTTGATGAACTAGCAATAATGGATTCTGGTTTGGCAACTTGGTTAACAAATTTAAGCATTGATCCAGACAGAGCTTCGGTTTCTTCCCTTCTACTTTTCAAAATTTTTCGTTTTTGTGCTCCACTTGGATGATGTCTCTTCATGATCACGTATCTATCTACAAGTTGATAGTGTTTTAATTCTAATAATTTATTTTAACTTCAGGGCTTAAAATATAATTTAAAAAATTAAAAGTGAAAAAAAATGGTGTAACATCAGTCACGTAAACCGAGGAGAACAGATATCCGTCTTTACCTATCAACACTTTTTGTACCTTAGATTTAAACTAGTGAGTCAGTACCGGTGGGTGAAAGTATATTTTCTGTTTTTCTTACCTGAAAGATAGTAGTTATATTTAAACTTATTAAAGAAGAGATTGATAAATATATAAATAAAATTTAAAACTCACTCTAATAAACCAAACGGAACAGACAACAAAAAAAGTTTGAAAAAGCCGACTCGTCCAAAAACTATATCAACCAATCACATTCAAGTATAATGATGTCAATGTCCGACTAAAAATAGACGTGGATTACCAATTCGGCCAGGATTTTAAAAAAGCGTTTATTCTTACTAAGTATATGCATTACTACAGATTATTTATAAATAAATATATTAAAAAACACAAAATCACGTCTATACACTTACTAAATTAATAAATTATTTAAAAATTTTCGTAATTGGCTTTTTGAAGATCCCCTCCAAATCGGAGACCCAGGGCGATCCGACCCCCTCGCCCCCCCTCGGTACGCCAGTGCCTATCACCCGCTTTCATGTGGCATATACCAAACAACAAAAATCCCAGAAGAGTTCAAAAACTTTTGCAACTGTAAAGAAATTTTAACTCATGAGGTGTCCCAGATCTTTCCAGTCTTCAAATAATCCTTACCACATCAATATCGATTGCGATTTGTGGACGATCGTTTAGCAAGTTGAAATTAATTTCTTTCTACATATATCTAAGATCAACATTGGGACAAGATCGCTTGAGTGACATTGTATTTTTAAACGTGGAAAGAGAGGAATATATGAAGTTAATTATTTTAAAGTAATAATTGATGTGCTCCGTGACAATAATCCAACGTTAAACTTTGTAAAGATACCTACATTCAATTTGAAATAATATTCAAAAGCGCGCGTCTTGTTATTAATGGACAATTTTTGGTGTGAACATCAGTTATATTTTAGAGAGCTGTATAAGCCGTTTAAGCTGCTTTTGTTAACATTTTGGTCAGATTAATTGAAAAATAGTTTGTGCGTGTGCGTGTGCGCGCGTGTGCATTAATTAGAAATTAAGCGATTATATATAGTGAAAAAAGTTAGTCTTAAAAAGATTCTGAAAACTTCAAAAAAATATTGAATATTATAGGAAAATATACAAAACAACATCTAAATAAAAGCAGCTTTCAAAAAATCTGCCCGTTTTGTCGGTATGCAAAGAGTTTCATAACATCATTCTATGCCAAAAATTATCAAAAATAAATCATTCACATAGAAATTTTGTTACATTCAAATTTAACTCTAACAAAAATGTTTATTGGAGGAGGCTTCATCCTTAAAAGTTTAGGATAGTTACGCCACTGGTTTCACATATTAGGAATGGCCTCACATAAGACGCAATTTTCTTTTAGACAAGACTCTCCCGCAAGGTACACTGCAGAAAAAAACATTCCCTAAATGATTAAAATGTTCAATTGTTTAATATCTTTGATTTTTATAACCTCTTCACTGATTTGATACTGTCTAAGTGAAAATAACACTTAGAAATAATTCCTAATTTTTAAATGTGTTTCAACATATTGTATAATTTTAATTGGTTCACCTATAGAACAAAACAACACCATCCTAATCGCCACATTAACAAAATCACTTTTTTCATACGTAACATTTTTAAATTGCTAAATTTTATGATTCCGTTCGTGAACATTTTAAAAACCAATTTTTATTTTAATTCAATCAATTAGTCATTAACTTTCCTGAAGATGAATTAAAAAATCTCGCATCTTAAATCAAAAACCTCACTTGGAAGTGACAGCAAAGCGACACAACTTTCAGGAACCATATCTAACCACATATTATTTATCATCGTCATAGAATTATTCGGACCAAACCAGTAGAAATTTCCAGATCCTGACTGTCTGTCTTCTCTTGAACCGCCAGTCCATGCCACAATGTTATCGGCTAGTTGACGGCACCCGGCTGAAATTATTCACGTATCAATTCATAAAGCTTTTAGATGAAATGCTAGAGAACAGAAAAGTATAGTTATACTATTTTTGTTACGGCTATGGTTAAATTTAACAAAATTCCCATGTAAGTTTTATGAAGTGTGGTCTCAAATTGTTGTAGCACTTCAAAAAGCAACAATGTTTTTAAAATTTGATTAAAAAATACACGTTTCCGTATGGTAATTATGCTGACAATGTGGAAAAAGCTAAGCGAAGAAGGGTGTCAATATTTTCTCTGAAAATTCCTAAGCCCCACAGAAAATTCTGGCTACGTCACTGGTAGAAAATAAACTTAAGAGGACGCAGAAGATTATAGTTGCGTATAATTTAATTGTTTAAGAAGGTACCGGATATAAACTAACTCATTAAAATGCTTAAAAACGCAAAAAAATCAATTCTTTAAAATGTGGTATGAGGAAGTTAATTAATTTTAAGTTAAAATTCTGAAAAGACGTTTAAAGCGTACGTCCAAACTTGGATACAAAATTGATGATGTACGTAGCTTTTTTAAGATTGTCAACCTTTACCATGAAGGCCATTGGGGCTATCATATTGCAGAAATCCAACCCCATTTTCCAGGGATATTTGGTCACGGTGGTCAAATTAAGCAGCTTCAGACATGTTTTGTAATCCGGGGAGTATATGAATCCATAAGGACATATTCCTGAATGGGATGGGATGTTCTTCTGGATCATTATATGAGTGTATAATATTATAACATTCAAGTTTAAAATTTAAATGTTGTGGATAATTTATCGCTTTAAAAAATTGTTTATATTTAAATTTTGATTTTACGACAAGTCGAAAAATTAGCAAGAAAAAAGAAAATGAGAATAATCGTTTTATCGGATGTTATTGTAGTTTGTTTACGATTTTGAAATTATTGAATTTACTCACAGTGACAAACTTCATGTCTAAAGTTTTTTAAATCAAATTTTAGTTAATAAAACAATGAAACTCACGGACCAAATTTTCTGAAACTCAAGCATCCAGTGGCAAAATTAATTTCCGACCAGGTTTCAAAAATTTCACACCTGCCATCTGCCGGATAATAATTCCCCGCCAAGCAGTTGAACTGCCGATTAGTTTGACAAGCAAGACAGCAATCAGTTTCGCTGGTAGTCAAGTAGGTAAGGTTCCTGCCAGTGATACAGTCATAAGGAACATTGATCGTGTTATCAGTGTAGATGTACCTTCCTGGTTTGAATAATTTATAAGAAGGGATACGTAGAAACATGATGGTTTTGATGAAAACCAGGTACAACACTTTCTTCAAACTTAGAATCATTTTAAAGTCGTTTATTTTAGCTCTTACTCTAAATGAATAGCATGTTTGAGACAAGATGGGTTAAACTTTAACGAATTGCTGATCATGAGATATGAAAGAAAACTTAAATAGGAATTTATCAAAACCTGATATATTTATCTTTCACCTAGGCAACAAACAACAATATATCACCAGTTGTTCGTGTTTAAACATCATCCAGACCATTCTTTGCATGGTGGAAACAATGCGGTTTTGATCCGTTGCTGTTTTTTATTGAAAGTGAATCAAAGAGAAGCTTGCATCCGAAAGGAAGTAGGCAATGACAATTGGAGTAATGGTTTTGCTATTCGTTTTTAGCATGACCCATAGTAATGTAATGTTGTTGTAACGTTGGTTTATGTGTGCCGGGCAGTTTTTATTCCGAAATTTTTGTCACGCTTTCAGCAGACTTAAGCATGCATGTGACGTGTGTGATTTGTATTTGTGTGTGTATTTTTGTTGCTTCTGAATTTGTGTTCACTTTTGTGTAAAATAATGTTTGTACAACTTATCCTACACATTTGAATTTGTTTACATGTGTGACTCTGACTGTGTGTGTGTGTGTGTGTGTATGTTTGTGTGTGTGTGTTTAAAAGTGTAGACGTTTGAATATGTGACACTTTCATTAAATCAGTGGAGTGAATGCTTCGACCGATAGCGTATAGACTCTTCATTGTTGATGAGTAAGAAATTTGATACAGACATAATGCTTTGTTCTTTAAGCAAAGCATTCATTATTGTACGACATGCAAGTTTTTAAAAATGCAATAACTTTCCTATACTTGTTGAGACTTGTTTTGGTGAACCTTGCGGTGAACGCTTTAGTGAACGTCTTGGTATCATTCATGGATCTAAAACAAAGAAATGAGCCAGCTCCAGTTGGGCAAAAACTGGAACATCCTCCATCAACACGTGCCAGTTTTTGTCCAATCATTTGCATTCGCAAAATAAAATAAAACATCTACTGGACATACGCTGGCACAAAATCCAGCCGTCCACAGCAAAGATCGATTCACTGAAATATCTTTATAAAATAACTCAATTTTTAACCAGTATGTATTTAAATAAAAGTTATATTCAATAAAAATATTCAATTAAGTTGTTAATTTTTCTGGAAAAAATAACTCGTTGATAATGTTATACTGCAATAATTCAGTTGGCGGCAATGCTTTTAGTGATAATCGTTATATCAATTTATATATAGATCGTGAATACTTCGGCTGAATACAGTGTGTGTACATTCATAATAATGTACATTTGCTCGTTGTTCCGAAATAAAACCTGCTTATATATAATATAAATAACATAATAATATGTATGTTTTGGCACTTCTCTGAACTATCAACTGTGCAGTGCCAAGATTGTAGCAGTTTAATAAGAATAAAAATAAACTTGATCATGTTTATCCAATTCAACGCAGAAATAAATTTTTTGTTAATTAATTATTTGATAATTAATTAATTAATTAAAAACGAAAACATGAAGAAAATACTTTCGTACGTCAAATCGGAATTAATTTCCTACGCCGAGAACACTACAATAAGGGGCTTGCCTCGTTTCGTAAAGTCCAAGGACCCCTTCCTTAAGGCCATCTGGCTGATGTTTCTTCTTACCTGTACTACAGCATTGACTGCTTTTTTATATTTTGCCGCGGTTAAGTTTGCCAGTTGGCCAATCTTGACTAAATACGGTGAAATGGTATGTTTCTAATTTAAATAATTAATTTTTTTGTAATAATTTTACTAAAATTACAGATTTGTCAAAATTGACTAGTTTGGTAAATTTTATGATATTTCCACGTAAGAATTCAAACAATGTTTAATTTTCAAATTAATAACTCAACAGCATATATAGATGAATAACTTTTGGATTAATAGGTAGATGGATGGATAAAATTCCCGGATGTCACAATATGCAACTTAGATACATTCGCATTCGGCTACCCGGATATTCTACCAATCCAACTATATTTTTTTCTGTTATTAAAAAACAAGATGACAATATTGCAACAAATGGTGAAAAATAAAAATTTCAGCGAGTTACAGGCCCAGAAGTTATTTGATGAATTGCACTCAGTTCCCGGTTACATACTCAATTTACCGAAAAACTCCGATGTGAACAGGGATTGTCCAGGATTCATCCTTCAATGTAGCATTCACCTAGGCAATTGGCCTGACGATAGCATAGACTGCTTAAATTCTTTCGAAAAACACTGGAATTCAAACTACTACACCTGCTACACCTTGAGGACAAGTAAGCTGCAACTCTCAAGCACCAACACATCGGTCAAAGGATTGAACTTAGTTTTGAACGTTGGACCACCCAATCTTTTCCAAATCCCATACCTACATTCTTTCACACGGTCTCAAGCCAGAGGAGTTCAGGTGAATGTGCACAGCTCTGGCACCCCAGCAAGTCTCAAGAATGGATTCAGTGTGGCCCCAGGAACTGAAAACATAGTTACAATCGTCCAAACAGAGAAACAACGATTGAACAAACCTTACCATAAGTTTGTATATTTTTATTTAAAATCTGTTGTATAATCGAAATAACTCAATTTATTTTTATCAATATGCTATCACAATAAATTGCTACCATTCAGAGAGGGATGTACTCATGAAACGAGCTTAAAAGTCTCACCTAATGAACGCTATACACGCGATTCTTGTGTGGATTTCTGCAAACAGGAGAATATACTGAAGAACTGCGGGTGTGTGTCTCCTTACTTGGGCGTTCCTCTCTCTTACGTGCACACGACTGACATGTGTGGCAACTTCTCATTGAATCACTCTCTTATTCTCCAAAACAAATTTGACGTTTCCCTGTTGAATAAAAATGTTTATGATAATTTCCGTTGTTCCGAAAAGTATCTTAAAGGATTTTGCAACTACAACTGTTTGAATCCTTGCGATGAAACTTTATACGAAACTTACTTGTCTACGGCAGCCTGGCCTCAGTATTCATTCCAGTTCGGATTTTTTGAGAAATATATTTACAAGATGAACTGCACTAAAACCAACTCTGGAGTAGCCGCAAGGTATGAATATTACACGAACATATTGGAAAGATTTTATCAGCTGGGCGACGTTTATTCCGAACTTTCCAGCATAAATGTGAATGAATCGGAGCTAAAACAAATCCAAGAATCTTTCCTGACGATAAAATTTCTAATCAAAGAGGATTTTCCGTACTACAGCATGGAACAGGGTGCCTACACGTGGGATACGGTGGTTGGAGTTATTGGAGGGATGCTTTCCCTCTGGCTAGGGATCTCTGCGGCTACTGTCGTTGAACTGGTTGAACTGGTTTATAATGTGCTGAGAAAAATTTGTTATAAAAAGAGAAAAGTTATTACCGCTATTGTGTAATTCCAAATGTGATTTCATGCACTACATGAAACATGCATGTAGTCAATGGGTGAAATACTTATATATTACGCTTACATTTTTAAATTGAAAAACCATTTTTTACTATTTTTTAGAACTATAAATGATTTTATTTTGATTGTTGTTCAAGTTTTTAATGTTACTTTTAACTTTCCTGTTGTGTCATTAAGTTTCTAACTGTTATGGTGTTTTTTGAATCATGACAGTTTTTGAAAGTTTAAAAGAAAAAAAATAATTAACCTGAGAAATATTTTGATAAAATTTATTATAAAATTCACAAAGTTCTCCTACCTTATTAAAAAATAGGTTGTGGCTCTCCGGATGAACATTTCTACTGTTGATACCTAAATAAATCGTCTTAGCTGCTAGATAATTACAATCGAGGAGAAGTTTATTTTAACTTTTTCATAACAAGTTTTCTGATTTGTTTCGAAAACAACATTAACAAAAATTATTTAACAATTGTGGAACAAACCAGCTGGAAAAAAATTTAAATAAAAAATGGCACCCAACTTCATCAACCGGATTAAGTTTTATTCACAATAAAATGTTCAAAACAGGAAAATTTATTTATCAAATTAACTCATTTACATGCATTCAACAGCAAACAATTGTCTCATTTAAAATTAATTAAAGAGTAAATGAACTATAATTACAATTTCAATTATAATTAGTAATATGGCCAGCACTTATTGATTCAAATGCAAATATTAAATAGCAACCAGGCTGTTTCAAATCAATTGATGAAATGTTGGTTTCTATCTGAACGTATACATCAAAGACACATTTTTTTTATTTAAATTTTTTTTCTTAAGAGCAAAAACTCAAACGAATGAATGTTCAGAAAAATATCACAAATACGTACCTATAACAAAACGCTTGAAAGTATTTACATGTATCAATGTTTCTCAATCTCTTCTTTCGTCCATTTTTTGGCCAATCTTTATATATTCATAACCGTAAAAGGGGTAAAAACTACCTAGGCATTTCAATTTTTGTATCTTCGTCCAGATTTAACTTTATTTCACTCTTACCTCTTCTTTTGTTTCTTTTTTTAAATCTATCCTTTTTTCCTTTTTATCTTCTTTCACTCCTTCACTCGATTCCACTTGAGAAGATTTCTGTAGAGGTCGGAGCTGATGAACCTGGCGTAGGAGTCTTTTTCCATAAGGTACTCCACCCTTCTTTGAGCTCTATCGAACATGGTTCGTGAAGGCCGCTGTAGGTTGTCTAGCGTTTCTTCTCGTGTAGTTGAGTCAATGTTGATCTGTGGTTGGTGGTGGTGTGTGGTGGTTGTGTGTGGTTGTTGTGAAATGTGTGGTGGTTGTGTGTGGTTGTTGTGAAATGTGTGGTAGTTTTGTGTGGTTGTTGTGAAATGTGTGGTGGTTGTGTGGTAGTTGTTGTGTGGTGGTTGTGTGTGGTTGTTGTGTGGTCTGTGGTAGTTATGTGGTAGTTATGTGGTAGTTGTGTGGTAGTTGTGTGGTGTTTGTAGTGGTGGTTTTTTGAGTCGTGTGGTATGTTGCGGTGGGGACTAGAAATCTTTCCATGTACCAGAATTTCATAACAATGAAGAAAAACCTGGTGAGGTGCTTTTAGCGACACGAACTCCATGAAGATTTTCTGACAAGCTGATGCGATGGCTGCCTCATCATTGCTCTGTTGTTGTTGTTGTGTCATAATTGACATTCACTCATTCATTCATTCATTCTTTCAATTATTCATTCATTCGTTCGTTCGTTCGTTCGTTCGTTCGTTTGTTAGTTCGTTCGTTAGTTCGTTCTTTCGTTTGTTTTTTCATTCATTCATTCTTTCATTCATTTATTCATCCGAGAATTCAATCAACCAGCCTGCCAGCCAATCAACCAACCAACCAATCAATCAGGACAATTCACATAATAAACAAAAATGTCTTTTGACTGAAAGCCTTTTGAAAAATTATAGTCATATATTAATACATATACGCATACATTCGGACACATACAAACAAAGAACATACAGGTGTTTGTGGTGAATACTATACATTCATATAAAAAAAACAATTGTACACACACAAACAAACAAACAAACAAAACCACACACACACACACATACATACATACATACATACATACATACATACATACATACATACATACATACATACATACATACATACATACATACATACATACATACATACATACATACCATATTCTTCAAATTTTCGCAGGCGACCCAAAACTCAAAATTCTCATCACTGAATTCCGATTTTAAAAACTGCCTGAAACACTCCTGGCCATCTTGCAAGTAAATTATATTATATACCTATAATTATTTAATTATAATATAATTATTTATATTATTATTATTATCATCATATTTTTAGAATTATCAATAATAGAAAATTTATTAAACTCATCATCATTTAAATTAGAGAGTTCATTTTATTTATAGCTGTGATCCATGATTTGGCTTGAGGATAAGATTCTTGTTTTTAGAATAGTTGTAAACTGCAACGGTGTATTTTGGATAGCATAGCACGTGTCATAATTAAATATTTTCTTAATTTCTAGCCAATTAAATATATTAATTGATTAATTAAATTTAATTAAATAATTTAATCAAAGGGACTTTTTAATTTTAAGTTTCGAAAATTCAGTACACTAGTAGTAAACGGAAAATTTGAAATGAAAAAAAAAATAAATAAAATCCAGATCATAACTTATAACCAATAACATATAACATATAACCAATCACATATAACATATAACCAATCACATATAACATATAACCAATCACATATAACATATAACCAATCACATATAACATCACAAAGCACATATAACATTACAATCATAGCAAAACCACACATTAAATATACAGTAACATCACCAACCACATATAACATTAACAATAAAATATAGCATCACCAATCCCATATAACATAAGCAACATAGCAATACCACATTGTAACAATACAATACAATACAATGCAATACAATACAATGCAATATTATACATGACAATACAATACATGACAATGCAATACAATACAATACAATACATACAAATACCCCGAAATACAAATTTCTAACTTTTATCTGCCATAAGATCTTCAAATGAGTCTGACCATTTCTCAATGGAAGATTTGCCGCTGCTGCTGCTGCTGCTGCTGAAGTTTTCAACAGTTTTGTGGTTTGTAGTAACGATGCTGGCGTTTTGTTGTTGTTGTAGTTTGCTGAAGTGCAGCAAGTTGTGGGAGGTTTTCTTCGTAAAGACGTTTTGGATTTTGCTTCGTACGTCTTTTCGTCTGATAACGAAAGGTTAAAGGTTAAAGGTTACTCTCTCTCTCTCTCTCTCTCTCTCTCTCTCTCTTTTGCGCTTGCTTTAGAGGTTTCAGCGACAAACACACACAGGGTAAATAAAAACCACGCATCATACACATTGCATATGATAGACGGGAATCTTTTTGTATTCGAACCCAGTCACTGCAGCACTAAGACAAGGCTCCTTTAATCATTGAGCCATCGCGCCGTCCCAATTGTTATCACGTGATCATCATTTAATGTTATTATCATCAACGTTTTGAAACTTTCATCTTCTTAAGCATCATCTATTCATCGTCATCGTCGTCATCATCATCGTCATCATCATCATATCCATCATCATCATCTTCTTCTTCTTTTTCATCATCTTCATCCTCATCATTGTCATCCTCATCATCGTCATCACCATCATCGTCATCATAAGCTTCTTCTTCCTCATCATTTTCCTCCTCCTCCTCCTCATCATCATCATCTTAATCGTCATCATCATCATTGTCTTCATCATCATCTTCATCTTCATCATCATCATCTTCTTCATCCTCATCATCGTCATCATCGTCGTCATCGTCGTCATCCCCATCAGCACTTACAAATTTCTCTTGCTAGTTTCTGGCGACAAAATGGCATTCGTCAGCACGTTGCTTTCGTCTGATTTTTTCTGCGATGTTTGTTTGTATTGAAAAATTTGAAAAAAATATTTTTCTCCTATTCATTCTTATCATTTTTCTCAATGCATTGATCCTTTTTTTTATTTAATTTAAAATCAGCGCTTAAATAAAACTATTCTGCTTCGTTTTCATTGCTACGATTAATTCATTTCTCAGTTAATTGTCAGGGCCATCAACACGAGATAGACCGGATGGGATCTCTATGCATTCGAAGCCGGTTACTACGACAGCAGCACTAAGCACCCTAACCATTAGACCATCTCGTCAGCACCTGTTACCACTGAAATATTTTCGTTTGACAGTTTAGTTGATGTGTACTATCGACTAATGTTGTTCCGCCATTGTGGTTGGTATTTATGAATAGCAATGTTGGAGCAGTGCTAAAATCTAAAATCTAATATCTATCCACTACTTTATCGTGTTGCAAACAAACATTAAAGGAATAAACAGAAAAACAAACAAACGAACGAACGAACACATACACACATACGTCCATACGGAAACACACAGACAAACAAAAGCATCTACTCTTTATAAACAATGTTCAGTTCATAAAACATTCCTTTAAAACAACTCCAATGCAAAGTATAGTATTTCAAATGGCATTTTAGAAATAATAAAATGTTTTTATTTAACTCGACACATCCTTAAAAAGAGCAGCACTAACATCCTTGCCATCACTGTTTCCGTCGTCATTTCCGGTACTCTTGCTCCTACGCAAGGGATGCCAGAACCGGTGCAGACGTGTTTTGCCGCGTTTGCAAGGCGCGGCCTGAAATTTCGCTGGCTGCTGATTGGCTGCTGAGTGTTTTGACGTCACCTTGTTAGGAAGTGGGGATGTGTATGTTTTCGTGAGTGGCAGCACTGATGGTGGTATGGAGGATAGAGATGCTGAGTTAGTTTCACCGGAAGTAGAAAATGATGGCGACGTGACTGCAATCGGTGGAAAAATTGTAGATGTGGGAGGGTTTAAAGATGGACTCGATTGTGATTGGCTGGTATTTTTGGTAAGATTCGTCTGCTCTGAGTCCGTGTGTTCTAATTTGTTGAACTTTCTTTCGTAGGGCAGTTGGGGGTTTTGAAGCTGGTCTCGAACGTCTTCAAAGTGGTCTTGAAAATGTTGTCTCTGCTTCTGTTGCTGTACTCTTTTGGAGACGGCATTCGACGAACTGGTCTCAAGTCTACGGAGGTCGCGAACAATGTCATTAGTTGAATCTGATTCGTTGAAGTCATCTGACCCTGCTTTCATTCCCAACTCTGAGTGGAGGCTGGTTAGTGAATCGTGAAATGGCAGCCAATCAAACATTAAGGTTTGATTGACGGACGGGCTGAAAATTCTGTGCTTGTCCAATAGAAACTCTCGTTTTTCATCAATCGAGGGGGGCACAATTTTTGATAGAAAAGATTTCCTGGCTTCAAGTTGTTGAAGGTTTGACGTCGATTGCTGCTGCTGTAGAGGCGAATGAATAAATTGTTGTTGCTGTTGTTGTTGATGTTGTTGATGATGTTGTTGTTGTTGCTGTTGTTGTTGTTGTTGCTGTTGTTGTTGTTGTT